GCTGCATTTGTATTATTGTTATTATGTAATATTCCATTTGTTGTTTGACTGGGATTTCGTCGACGTTTTGTTGGTGATGGTAAATCATTAGGTAATGGTGATACATGTGTGGTTGTTGGACTTTCAGCAACTTGTATAAGATCATCAAATGTATTTGAATGAAGTTTATTTTCATTATGATAATGTGGACTTGGTGTTGTTGATGGTGGAGATTTTGTTGCAAGTAATTGTCTTAAACGTGTTGAACTACGTAATTGATTTGTTGCTTGCATAGATGGCGCTAGTGTTGTTATTGGACTTGATGCTGTTGTATATATATCACTATTAGAAAAGTGTAATGATGATGGTGGATCAATTAATTGTAATGGTGATGAAGGTTTTTTATTAGCTGGTGAACATGTTGGTAAAAATGAATTTAAATCATTTGTTGGTGATACAGATGTAAATAATAAATCAAAAGAATTAGCAGGTGAAGAAACACTACCATGATTGGAATGAGCTAAATACATAAATAAGAGAATTAGATAAAAGAAAAATTTGTTATGTTTTATTAATTCAAACCTAATGAAGGACTAAATGGTGTTCGTTTACTACCAAATTCAACAGTATCCGATGATGAAACAGCTATAAAAACAAAACATTATTAAGAAGAAATTTGAAAGAAATTGAAAATATTTACTATCAAGTGTAGAAGATTTTTGTATATTTGGTTTTGGTGGTGATGGTATACTTATTTGTTGTTGAGTTTTATCATTAGGACTAGATATTGGTGCTGATAAAGAATTTTGTACTTGACTTAAAGTACTCAAAGTACTTGATACATGTTGTTGTAATGAATTCGATGCATTCTTATGCATACCTAACATAGTTAATGCAAACTGTGTGCCAATGGGTGGTGTTGATGTTTGTGGTGGAGTTAACTGTGATGGTAGTGATAGTGTTTGTGGCGATGATGTATGAGTTTTATTTAATGATGATAATGATGGTGATGATGATGATTGTTGTTTATTTTTTTGTAGATCACGATTTGATACAATAATTGCTTTCATTAAACGTGTTGATGCATTTCCATTTAAATCATTGATATTATCAATTAACCTATATAGAAAAATAATTTATAAGTTATACAAAATTTTTCATTTTTTGATATATTTACCGAACAATTGTATGAGTAGAAACAATTGATTCAGATTTACCAGTTGTTGTATTAGAAAATAATTTACTTTGAGTATTAACAAAAGCATATATACCATCGTGTAGACAAAAACGATAGACAGCACTTTTTGATTCACCTTTTTCGACAACTAGAATAGATAAAAGATATTGAATTGACTTTTATGATTATTACTAGATTTATTATTGAAACTTAGAGAGTGGAAAAGGAAACTAAGTCTCTAAGCTACATTTACTATTAACAATATCGAAAACAAAATGTGTGTCAACTGTTTTAAAACATCTGGCTCGTTATTTATTATGCAAAAGTTTCTGTAAAGACCAATGTTAGTATCTATTTCAATGACGTACAATAGTATCATTATCTACAGTCAAAGTAAAAAAAAGAGAATTAAAGTTTGGGTGAGGGTATTTCCTATGAATTAAGCTCTTAACATTTGCTTTTTTGATTGAAAATGATTAATTTAATGCTGACTAAGGATTTAAAAACGAGATCTAACTATTTCATGTACATAACTAAGCTTATATTTTGATAGGGAAAAAAGATCATAATCTTGATGTATTCAATATATTATGACAACTATACGAGTTAAATGCTTGAGAGTAAGATGAACTTCTTGTAGTTTCCGTTATATTTTCGATAGTATGAAATTAGTAGAGATATTCTAATTATATATCAGAAAAGTATAGTTTTTACACAAATGATAATATTTGTAAAGAGAATGGATATGTAACGTAGTTAAACTCAAGTTTGAGAAAATGTCAAATCATTTACCTTCTTGAAAATGTTTATTAATTAATGGGATATCATTATCATAAACATAATCTCGAAAATTTTTTCCCTTAAAATTCATATCAATTGTTTCACATTTCATATGACTAAATTGAACAGAAAAATATATTTCAATTTAAAGAAACGTTTTGTCTTGTTTTTTTTTACCTTGAATCTAAACTTTCAATATCATATTGTAGATTAATTCTTGAAGAAAATTGATCGAAACCAAGTAATGCTGGTTTATCTTGTAATTCATTTAGTGGTGGTCGACGAGCAATACATATTAGAAATGTTTTATCACTACCCGATGGATCACGATGAAGAGCAACTGATACAAGCATTGTAAGATAAGGCGAAGATTCATCATTTGTTCGCATACGACAAAGGAATGTACGTCCCCGCGATTGACCATTTTGTGATTGATCAGTATTAGCAGTTGGAGCTAATGAATCACCTACACAAAAAATTCGATATAATGAAAAAATATAGATTATTAATAGATTTAACTAACCGGCATCTTTTTTTGCCCAAGCTTTGCTAAACTCGCCAACATCACTCGGATGTACACAATAGTACAAATTACGTCCAGCAAGTTCATCCTAAATGAATTATTTATGTTTTGTAATTATCAAAATAAATCGAATTAATTACTTGGGAAAATTTTAAATACTGTCCAACATTATCGCTTACAAAATCAAGTTCACAATTATGATTTATTGTGAAGAAAAATCCATCCAGAGCCTAAAGCAACAAAAATAAATAAATTCATATCATATATAAGATTTTTCTAGTGTATTCTTTATTAAATGAAGACCAAAATTCGATTAATTTGATTGAATTTTATCAATATATACAGTGCATTCATGCTCATAATTATGTATTTATATACTTTACTAGTAAAAACCGATAATCTTTTTCATGTTAGAAGTATAGAAAAGAAAAGAAAGAAAGGAGTGTATTAGTACTCTGCTTTTACAAATAGTCTTTGAAACATTATTACAGAAGCAGGAACAGCAGCAGTAGCTATAGTATACCAACATCATTATATAGAATATGCTTGTGCGTTTACGAATATATTAAAGGAAGGAAAGAAAAGAAGACATAACAAGTAGAATAGCGACTACAAACGTTTTTTTTTCTCTCTTTGTCTTCTGATCCAGTCTGCATAATGTTCCGTGTACGCGCGTACACATATAATGTAGTGTGTAGCAAGATGGTTTTTTTTCGTCGTTGTCATCGCTATTCT